AGAGGGAGGGGAAAAACCTCTAGTACCAGAATGCATAAGGAATGAGGGCTAAGTTCTTCATTTGGCTGGCAAGTGAAGTAAACAAATCAATACTGTTTAAATTATTTCCACGTTTAAGCAAAACTTGTTTTTAAAAAGTGCAGAGCTTGAAGGGAGAAGAAAATTATTATCGTAATTGTTAATAGCCCCATAGCAAGTATTTTAAGCCAAGTGGAATGCAAGTTCTCAGCATACTTATGTTATATAGAAGATCCTTTTATTCTTAGTAATAAAATATGCATAAGTATCTAGTCCTAGTGTTATGTAACTGCATCTCAAACAAATATTGGAATTATAGCTTTAAAGCAGGGTGCCTTAAGACTCATCTCTTCCTTTAAAAGCAAAGAAGATATCAGCAACTTGCAGAGGAGTAGCAATGCTCATTTGTTGCTTTGCTACAAAAATGAAGAGTCTTGTGGTGCCTTAAAGACTAACAAATTTATTCTAGCATAATCTTTTGTGGACTAGAGTCTGAGTGGACTCTAAATCACAAAAACTTAGGCTATAATAAGATTTGCTCATTTTTAAGGTGCCACAAGATTCTTACTGTTTTTTCTCAACAACTTGGTTGCTGATCATAGCTGGCAACGTCAGTCATGATTAATCTTTTTTTTTCTAGTGACTCATCATCAAATAAGCCTTACCTAGACAATATGTCACAGTCAAGTGATCTGATAAATACCCGCATCATCAGTAACACAACTTCTATACTCTTGAGGAACACAGTAAAGCTTTTTTATTGTTTGAATTTCGGTTACATTTAGGATGAACACTCACAATGCAATCCTATCAAAGCAAATGGAACATAGTCTGTTTATTTTATTTTATTTTATTTTGCCTGCTGGGCTTATGTAAAGATTACTTATCTATTATTATAAAAATAATGAGTAAAAATATATAATGAAGTAGGATCAAATTTCAGTAACATCAGTTTATTCAGATTTCGTATTAAGCATTTATTTAGCAGGTGTGGTGGTGGGGGGTGGGACCTCCTTCAGCGTTGTATAGGATCAGAAGACCAAGCAGTCAGCTTCTCAGATGGTTCTAGAGTTCTCAGTGTTTGATGAGGTAATGATACAGATATGAAAAAGCTATATAGTCACAGCATCGAATGGCTACGTTTATTCCCAATTGGTTAAGAGGACTGGGGGAGGGGAGAAGACGGCACTTTCATGTTTCTCCTCCTGTGTTGCCAGAGCCAGGAACACAAGGTGCTTCACTTATGGAGGAAACTGTAGTGCAAACAATACCAATCATGAATGGATAGAAAAGTCCATTGAATTCCCTGCTTCAGTTCCAGTCATGTGTGTGAAGTACGTTGGCTAAATTCTAAATCTCTCTGCTATTATATTTGCATTTGCTACATATTCTTGAACGCCCCTCTTCTTTTCACAAACTACAAACTTGAAGAACTTATGCCACTAAGCGTATGGTTCATTTAAGTGCATTTCTGGCCCTTCAGAATGAGAATAGCAACTGTTTCAAATTAAGAAAAAGGGGGACTAGTGGGAAAATAACTCCAAACATGATTAAAAAAAAAGAAACAAGACCCAAATATCTGAACTTTGTGAGAAGACACATGTAGATCAAGAGATAAATGGAAAAGAGATTTTTCTCCCTATATCCAAGTTCCACACCAGGCTGGTCCTCCCATCACAGGAAGAGTCACCATTTTTTTTCAAACCCGTGAGCATATTTGAAAAAAGAGGAAGTGTTGCTGCCACCATGAATGCACTGCAACTTGGTATGCTCCACAACCATGCACACACTGCAACCACATTGATGACAATCACACACAGAGAGACATACACTCACTTTCCCACTGCTAGCAACTGGGCATGAAAAAATTGCCTTGCTTCTTTTTAGGCTAGAGTTTGGGGGCAGGATATCTTCCTAGAGAGTTAAACTTCCTTCCTGAGCTGCACTATCCAAGAAGATGGCCCATACCCAACATTTATACCTGGGGAAAGTGTTCTATTGAAGCCAATAGAAGGCATTTTCCAAGCCTAACTGTAATGAGGGAGCAACTGTTGGGGAATTTGGTGATCCTTTCTTCTGCAGCTGCAACCCACCCCTCAAAATAATCCCTCTTCCATTCTAATTAGGCTTGTGAGAAGCCTTCTCTTTTAGTCAATATAATAATTTTCTTTCCAGCCTAATTGTGACGCAGGGGACATTTTTGGCGTGCTAGGGTCACACCTGGAGAAAGATCCCCCTGCTACACATGGTGCAGTAGAGCTTGAGAAAAGCTTTATATTGGCTACAATAGGAACACAGGAAGCTGACTCTGGTCCATCTACGCAGGGTTTCAGGCAGGGGTTACTCCTGGCCCTGCCTGGAGATGCCTAAGGACTTTTTGCATGCAAAGCAAGATGCTCTACCACTGAGCTATACTTCTTCTCCAAAAGATGTTTCTCTCAAGTCCAATTTCAGCGGGGTGGGGCAGAGGAAACAGAAACCTGAGGGCACAAGGAAAGGCCCCGTGGGCACCCACAGGTGCTGTATTGGTGATTCATGCAATAGTTTTATATTTGATTGGCAGGCTTAAAAGGTGGGTAGCATTCAGCTATTTTTTGTGATATATACAGGGTGAGTCTTTTAAAAGAGGCCCCATGGAACATGTGTACTCTGTATCCATGGGGCCTCTTTTAAAGGACTCACCCTGTATAAGGAACACACACTACCTGGCTTTTCTGGCTACTCTCCCCATAATGGTAAAAAAACCCCAGCAACTTCTGAAGACTTTTTGTGAAAAACCATAAGGTTCATAGCTTAAACTTTTCTTTTTGCACCCAATATTAGCAAATACTGGAACAGCTTCTCTTCCAAAGTCATTAAACTGAATTTGGGCTGAACTTAGTAACTTACACACACATGTGCTGGTATTTCTGCAGCATCAAGGACTTTAGACAACAGAACTGTTGTGTCTTTGTAATAGCAACTTGATTCTACAGATAAATGGGGAAAGAGATGCACAGAACAGGTCTTTTCATAAGAACATTTCTTTCATAAGAAATAGCACTAGCATGTATTACTCTGTATTACAGACAGTGTACAAGTCTGTAAAGTACAGATTTTCCAAGTATAGCAAGCCTCCTTTAGGCTACATACATCTTTATATTTATCCTCTTGCTTTACCCTTACTGAAAGCTAACAATTTACATTTTGGAAGTTCTAAGAATGAACATTTCTGGATGCACAAATATATCTGCAAAAGACAGTTACTGCCATTCTTCATTTGACATCTGAACAAAAGCCTACTGGGGAGGAGAAGGAAAAAGCTTTATTCTGAAGGGGTTTGGGATCAGGACCCTCCCACCTGGTGAAGTTCTTATTAAAACAGGTTTTACTATTTTTAAAAGTGGGGACATGTAAAACCAGAAGACTTTCTTGCATGTATTATATAATACAGGAAGATGTAACTGGATTTTCTAAGCACTATGCTTATTCAAAGCAGGGAATACTATATAAAACCTGACCTTTTTGCACCCAGATATTAGGCAGACAATTGGGGAACTTTACAGTTCTCCAAATACTGAAGCTGAAGATAGAGTCTTACGGCAGACAGTGTTAATAATAAGAAGTTGCTGTAGTTAAATTAATTTCTAACTGCTTATCAGAGTTTTTTATGAAAGGGCGCACAGAGGAGGGAATGGAGTGAAATGATGAAGAAAAAGAAAACTGTACATAAGATTTCTTACTAGAGAGTGTTCCAAGTATTATTCTTTTTAGAGGGGGAAGACAGTACCCTACTTAATGGACCTAATGTACTGGTAACCTGGAGAGCTGAAATGGGAGGAATATGCATGTGAAATCAGTGCAAAGGAAAGTTGCTGTGCATTTATTTGGTGGGCAAAAGTCCTTTTCAGAAAATAACTAAGATGGTTGATTTAATGTGTCATTTTAGCTATGATGGCTTCATAATCAGCATCAATGTAAGGATTAAAACACCAGCAAAACTGGGTTAGTGAGCAAAAGCAGATTTAGGTTTAAACGGCCTGTATGTGTTAACGCACATATTATCAAGAGATTTGTGTGTGAGTCACTTATTCAAATATGCAAAATGTCAGGAACATATAGCACTAAAATAAAAAATGGAAGCAGCTTGCAAGCTTTGGCACTCAACTGTGCAGGCAGACATGCATGTGAAAACACACACTCACACTCACTGTTTGATTTGTGGGTTACAATCTGACAAGTTGTTAAACAGAAAAGACACAAACAAGAATGAGTTGCTTTTCTCACACTGAGTTCTCATTTGATCCCCCTGTCTCCTCCTATACTTGATTTGCTTCCCCAATGTTCCTCAAACCCATTTACTATCAACAAGTCAGGGACAGTTCTCGCCAGACTGTCAATGCCTGTTCTTTCAAGGTCTTGGCTCTGTAGGACAAGTAAGGTTTTGAGCAGCATGCGCAATTCATTTGCAGTCCACTCTGCATAGTCTTTAAAATTAGCAAGCTAGCAGGGAAAAAGAGGAGTGAAACATTGGCGAAAGGCTTTCAAACACAGATGGCTGAGAGGCAAAGGTCTCCTAGTAGAGGAGACCGGATGACAAACTTTTAGTTCAAGTGCAGTCACGCTGGATGGAGGCGTCTCCAAAGAAGTTGTCCCAAAGCAATCCAATTCCTACCACAGTGGGTCTACAAGGCATAATCCAGGAGAAACAATCATTTTTTTAAGGCCAAAACTACTTTCCTTCAGCAATTGTTAATAGGAGTATAATAAGATGCAGCAGCATTTTTAAACCAAGGCTCAGAAAGAAGCTACTTTCACTCTGAAAGGGAAGCTACACTAGGCTTGCATGGTTCTCCTCTGCACCAAACTCTGCCATCCAAAGTACCATTTTTCCAGAGACGAAGTAACATGGTAATAATGATCTACCTACCTGCAGAACCAGACATACAAAATGCATTCAAGCCCTCCTGCCCTGGAGAATTAAACTTAACTGCATTCAATACTCAGCTTGTGCACCGAAACTGTACCAATTTATGAAATGCCTGTTTGAAGTCTTCATTGGACATGGTGTAGATGATGGGGTTGATTAAGGAGTTAAGATATCCCAACCATGTGAAGAAGTCAAAGATGGCCATGTGAAACCAGCAAGCATCTTTACAAATAGGCAACACCAAGGTGATGATGAAGAAGGGCAGCCAGCACACAATGAAGGCTCCTAGAATAACCCCTAAAGTCTTGGTAGCTTTCCGCTCTCTTGCGGCAGTCAGCTTCTTTTTTTCCAGCAGTGCATCAGACACCTTCACTTTGACTTGGTTCATGTACACAGGAGACCCCGTTTCACTAGAAGCCTCCGAAGCTTTGCAGTTTATGGACGTGACTGATGACGTTGAGCCCGGGGAATCTGTTATTAGGTGGGCTCGGGTTAACCTTTTGCCTGTGTTCTTTGGTGTCTGTTTCAAAATCCGAGACCTGGCTTCCACGTAGATCCTTCCATAGAGGATGATCAGAAGCAAGGTGGGGAAGTAGAAGGCCCCCACCGTGGAGTAGACGGTGTACAAGATGTGATCCGTGTTCACCACGCAATCTGCCACCTCTTCTTCAGCTTTCGACTGGCGCCAGAACAAAGGGGGCATTGAGATGGAGATGGAGAAGACCCACACCAGGGCAATCATGACAGCCGCCCTCTTGGGAGTCCTTTTAGTAGAGTACTCCACCGCATCCGTAATGGCCCAGTACCTGTCCAGGGCGATCACACACAGATGGAGAATGGAAGCAGTGCAACAAGTGATATCCGAAGAGAGCCAGATGTCGCAGACGATCTGGCCCAGGGTCCATTTCCCAGTCACAGTGTACATGGTGCTGATGGGCATGACAAGGATGGACACCAGGAGGTCCGTGACAGCCAAGGAAGCGATGAGATAGTTGGCCGGCGTGTGGAGCTTGCGGCTCTGGTAGACGGTGGCAATGACAAAAGCGTTGGACAGCATGGTGGCCAAGGTGATGAGGGCCAAGATGATGGTCAGCACCACCTTCCAGGAGAGCGGGGTGCCATCTTGGTAGGTGGCGCTTTCTTCTGCGCCGCCACTGCCACTGCAGTTCCTGGCGTGGTGAAAGGAGTCATTGGTGTGGAACACATCCACGGAGGCTGGGCAAGGTCTGGGCTGCTCCATGCCTCCACACAGAGGCTCTGGACCGACGGGGCTGCCGAGAGGAGGAGGAGGAAGGAGGAGGAGGTGGAGGAGGGCAGCGCCCTCACAGCACGCTACATCTCCAGAGAAGCCCGCGCGCCAAATGTGAGCTGGCAGACGGGAGTCTGGGCGGATGTGCGGGGGAGGGCATGCGCGCGGGGCTCACCCAATGGGGACGCCTCCCGCGCCCGGGCGGACAGGGTCTCGCGCCGCCGCCATCACGCGCTCGCCCGTCCGCTTACCTTCCTGCCGGCGCCAAGCCGCCGCCGCCGCCTCAGCACGTGCGGGCTTCCAAGCGAGGCCATCTCGGGTGGTGGTGGCGGCGGCGGCGGCGGCAGTCCGTGCCCTGGTCGAGGCGAGGCAGCATCTTCCCACTTTCGCGACGGCAACAGCGAAGCCGGCGGACGGAGAAGTTGGGAGCGGCGGTGGCGGTGGGAGTAGGAACCCACACGCGGGCTTCTCGGAGGGCGGGAAACGGCGCCACGGGCGGCCAGAAGCCTCTTCACTTCTTCTCCGCGCCTCGCCCAACAACTTTTTCCAGGCGGCGGACGGAAGGAAAGTAGGCGGCGAGGCGACCCCTGTGTTGCGAAATGTTCCCCGGGTCCGTCTCTCTCTTTCTCTCCCAGCCCAGGAGAGCGAGGGTCCTCCCGGCAGACGCAGCCCGCGCCTCAGTGAGCGAGCGCAGCGCCAGCCTCGGCTATATATACGCCGCCCGCCGCAGCTCCGCTCCGCTCGGCGCGAGCCACCTCGGCAACTCGTGGCCGCTCTCGCCCAGCTCCGGCTGCCGGCCTCTCGGCCCCGCCCCGCCCCTCTCGGCCCCGAGAGGATCCCGCCGGGTCCTAGCGCCCTCCCATCGCACCTGCCACTGGAGGTTCAGCTTTCCCCTCGAATCGAAGCGGACTTGCTTGTGATCGCTAGTTTGCCTTGTCGCTTTGCTTGCGCCTTCTTTGGACGCGGACGCCTGACGGGCTGCCAACAGCATGGGGCACCAGCGACATCCAAGGTGGGGCAAAATGATGAGGATGGTGTCCAACCACGAAGAGGTCGCTGCCGTTAGATGGGGCGAAATGGCCCCTGGCCTTGAGGGCTCCTTGGTGCAGGGTAGGTCTATCCACAGCTCCTAGCCGTAGCCCATCGTGGCTAAATGCAACCTCCAGTGTCAGGAGCAGCGTCGCGCGCGGGAGAGGTCTGTTGCACTCACGTGTTGTTTGCGGGTAGCAGGACGCTGGACCCAGATGGGTCCTTTCTCTGATCCAGCCGGGCTACTGCTGTCGTGTCTGGATCGCTCTTTTCTCTTTTTATGCTCCTGCCTGATCCACAGTCCAATTATGTCCTTTGCGCTTTGATGTAAACCAACTTTACCCCGTTGGCTCCGCTGGCTCGACTCCAAGCCCTTCGGCTTTTAATTGGGCAGCGTCGCGAATCGGGCGGCTGCTCTTGCTGTTTTTTGGAAGGGGGAATTCTCTGAAAGTCTTCCCCGAAGAGCATCGGCTGAATGGGAACTGCTTTTATCTCCAGCCGCGGAGGGTTTGCACTCACGCCGAGTGCAAACGTAAGCATTCCGCCTTCCTCTGCCCACCCACCCGCGCTTTGAAATCTGCAGTCTGATGACAGGCATTTATGGGGACTGGCAGAACCAGAGAGCATGTACCCAGGACAGAAGCTTAATAATACTCCTCGTTCTCTCTTACACGCAACACCCGATCCCCATTATATGAGAGTCTAGGGAGAATTACTTTTGAGTAAGCACGTTTGGGATGCCTCTGTCTTTTCGCTCGCAACCTACTCGGGCGCCGCGCGCCTCACAAGTTGGCTAGAAGGTCCAAGCTCTAAGCTCTCTGCGTTTTTATTTCTACTTCCTCTCATTTTGGGCTGCTTTTGGAGCCCAAGGCGGTTTGCAGTGGAAACATATATATAACAGCAGTTGGCCGTTAGACACAATTGCATGGCCGAACGAAACCGGCGTGCGCGCCGCCGCTTTTTACGCGCGTTTACTCGGAAACCAGGGGCTTTTCAGCAGCTGTGCGCGGGTCGCAACCTCCCATCGAGGGTGACTGCAACGCACGTGCAGAACCAGACATTCCTCCTGAGCTCTGTTCACACGCAGCAACAGTGCACGTCTGGCGGAAATCAACAGGCTGAGAAAGGCAGGAGGGTTTCTTTCTTGGGCTGCGGGGGGCGTCCAAAAACGCCATGGAACCTGACTGGAGAGAGGGCTATGGGCCCCCGGGATATCCTCAACTAGGCTGCCTTTGGCAGAAGTAGGAAAGCAATATTTATCGCCGCCTACAAAGTGCTCCACCTGTGTGTGTGTGTGTGAAGCAATCTTCTGAGCCCAGTTGGTTAAAGCAGGCAATCCCCAAACTCGCCCCTCCAGATGTTTTGGGACTACAACTGCCATCATCCCTAGCTAACAGGACCAGCGGTCAGGGATGATGGGAATTGTAGTCTCAAAACATCTGGAGGGCCTGGGTTAGAGCATAGTGCTGATAACGCCAAGGTTGCAGGTTTGATCCCTGTGTGGGACAGCTGCACATTCCTGCCTTGAAGCGGGTTCGACTAGATGAGCCTCTCTACAATTCTGTGATCCGGTCAGTAAACGCCGGAAGAGCAACAAAATCGGTGACTATGGAAGCCTTTATCTTTTCCCACCGCCCGATCTTGGCAGGGAGGGGAACAGCTCGGCGTGCTGACTGCAGAGCCGCGAGCTTTTGTGGACTACTCAGGCGGTGCTGTTACGCGTTTACGATGTGGGTTTTTTACAGTCCGAAATGCGATCGTTAAAACATTATTGCGCTGCGTCCCGGAAAAAAGGCTGCCCCCTCAACGCGTTTGCTCAGGAGTAACTAACTCCTACCGAGTTGCAGGGGGTTGAATGCGATCGCACAAGTCCCGAGCTCCACCCTACAAGCGAAGAAGGGACGGATCCTGGTAGAAGTGGCGAGTTGGAGGTTCGCGGCAGTCACGTGCCAGCTCGTTCCCACAGGCTTGGGTGGGCGCTTGCATTGGTGGGCGACAGATTGCCTGAATGACGCGAGCAAACAGGGTGGAGAGGGAAGGTTCTCCTCCCGGATTTCTGTATTGCATGCGTGGCGCACGCACATCCGTAATCTACCGTCATCACCTTTACAAGGCAAGTGATCCATGATGCAGCAGAGAGGTGAGATCCGATTCCGAGCCCAACTGAATTCTTGCACTAAAGTTGGCCGTGGGCATGGAGTGTGCGCACTCAGCAGTGAACTGTAGGCAATCACAGCTCCCCTTGCGAACAAACCTCCCTTTCTTGCTTTCACATGTTATGCTTTCTAGGTGCACTTAAAAGTAATCCGTGAAGCGGCCCTTAGTTCGGTAGAAATGTGTTCCCTCTCGCCATCAGCGGTTAACTGCTGCCAGGAGCTGTGTTTTAGGTTACAAAACTGCCCTCGGGTTTTCTTAAGGCACCCCAGAGAACCAGCTCTCTCCCTGATGCTTCTGTTCCTCAGGGCAGCCGCAGACCATATTATACCATGGCCTTGTCTGTGGCCATCCTATCGCACCTTCAGCTGGTTGCTCATTTAGCCTGGGAGCCCCAGAGTATCCTCAGTGTCACCCCACCTTCCAGGCTCACCCTTTGTTGCACTTTCCATCCAGGGCAGGTTAACAGCTTTGGTCCGGACAGCATTGTGAAGGGGCCCTTTTACTCGTGCTCAGAAAGAAACTCTAGCAAGCCCTCGTCGTTCTTTCAGTGTAAAGTATGGTTTCCTGTCTGCTGAAGCTCAGCACCAAAGGAAAGCAGTTTAACTTTGCCCTTCCTCTTTTTCTTGCTCACCCTCTTGTTTATTGCTGCAGCTGCTTTTTTATTCTTTTCCAAAATTCTGTAGGACTTTTGTGGACCGTAAGCCATAATATAGTTAGAACTGGTTGAGCCTTGCTTGCCTCAACACAGTAAAACGTCCAAAGTTCTCTCCCTTGTCTCATCACATTTCTAAGGAAAATCCACGAGCCACTTAAATCCATGCATGTGCCCTTAAATGGGCTTAGGGTGCAATTCACAAACAGAAGTCTTCGTTTTGATGTAAGCCAGTGGCACTGCTTCTGGAGTGAAAGATTTAAGTATCATACCCTGGCACTCTGGTTTCAGCGAAACTTAATTCCCATTCAGAATGCCCAGATGGAAATCATTAGGAAGTTAGTCCCACTGGTTATAGTGGCACTTACATCTACCTGATGAAGGTGTACTTAAGCTAGACCAGGGAGTAAGAACCATCAAACACAGTGCGGCTTACTTCCAAGCAAACCTACAGAATTGTACTCTTATGATCTCCAACCTTAATGCAAGCTGATCTGGACTGGGTCACATCTGGAACTGGGTTGATCAGAGCTGAGGTGGAGATTATCTATTAAGTCACAAGTGAAAATGATCTTAGCATTTCCTTTTCATCAAAAAGTTAACACCATTGATGGCACAGACAGGAGGAGGATGCACTGGGCAGGTTAAAAGGCAGCTCCCTGAAATGGTGCAGTTAGCTAATTTTTGACACCCCCTCCACCACCACCCCAAATTACCTTTAGATGATAATGTGTATTATTTCAAAATGTGATAACTCAGCCCTGCTGTGTTTGGGTCCCTTCCTGCTTATTCTGGGGCCCTGGACTTCTGTTCCTTTATTTGCCCTGAAGGCCCCGCTGTGCTGCTGATCTAGATCCCAACAAGGTTTCCTTTAAAACACACACGCACACAAATGGATCACAGACCAAAAATAGGAGAGGTTTGCTCCTTGTCTCTGTGGCTTTGCAGCAGCTGGTAAGGGAGCTGTCCAGCAAACAGAGCTCCTGAAATGTCAGCACACCCAGTGTGTTTCTGGAGGGCTGGGGCTGACGATACAGACTTCAGTTTCCTCCTAGGAAGAAGGCAGAGCTTCAGAGATGCTTAAACACCTCAGCTTAAGCTTCAAATACTTGTCTGTGAAAGCATCAATCCATCTTCATCAGGTTAGGAATGC